CGAAATAGATCACAAAAACACACAAACGTTCTTTTCTGGACCAAACAACAGCAACAGCAATATTAATATTAACAATAATCACTCAGCTCACATTGATTTGAATGTAAAAGCCAATTGATAGACAACAGCCCCTTCATGACAGAGTATATGTATTCCAGTGGCTCCATCAAAAAGATCTTAAGCTGACATTTGTGCTGAGGTCCATCACATTGGGATCAAAGGGCTCTGGAGGAAATATGTTCGTTCCTGTGCATCATCTCAATAGGCAGCTAATAATAAATATATTTTAGAAATATGCATATAGTCTTGTACACTTGATGATTGGCGTTAAACGCACGTAGGCCTACTGTATTCTACAATAGATATTTTAAAGCTTTTTTATAATGTTGAACACTATACAACTTACTTTAGTCTGAATGCATTTATTAGCTCACTATAATTTGGAATCATGTTAAATGAATAATTCATTTTAATTAATTCTTCAATTAGTGAATTATTAAAAATGAAAGATCATAAATTAACTGAATAATTAATTTTGTACTATTAAGATGGAATAGCAAGTGTGGAAACATTGATTCTTATTTTCTTCTTTATTGCATTATTTTTAACAATATTAACATTCGTGGTATTTCAATTGTACTACACATTCAATTGGCGTCTTAATTTAGACTAATTAATTTATGGCTGAGCTGGAATGAAAGCCAGCATACATTATAGCTCTTTAGGACCAAAACAGCCATTGCCTTTATTATTTTGAAGAAAACATTATTTTGGGAGGGGGGGGCATGTTCTGCAAATGTCCCCCTCATGATGCAGACCCTGGTTGAGAAATACCCTGCAGGACGGAATAAAAACCTTTAAAATATACTAAAGCCCCCTTTATGGCATGTGTAAATACTGCTGTGGTCTATGCTAAACTGTTTGAAGTATTTTTATGTCAGACAGAAGCTTCTATAGAGGAGAAATGCAGCAGGAGCAGCCTCAGCTGGTGGAGATCACCTCCATCACACGTAAGTCAGATTTCTAGGCAAAAAGAACATTCTGTGTACCTGAATGTGCATGTGTATTAATAGGTAATGAAAGTAATGATTGTGATTAGCTATTTGCATTATCCATGTTTGTAATAATGCGAATAAAAAAAGAATTACAAGGCCACTTGCTCTGCTAGAGACTTGATTATTTTCCTACTGCAGTAGGATATTCAAAGCTGCAGGGATTTTAGGAACTGTGGCAGCTTGGATCGAAAACTGGTTAACTGACTGGAAGCAGCGAGTAGTTATTAGAGGCACAATGTTACAGTGGGCCTGCGTTCATAGTGGGGTACCACAGGGTTCAATTTTAGGACCACTATTGTTCCTAATTTACATTAATGATATTGACACCAATACATACAGTAAACTGGTTAAATTTGCAGACGACACCAAGGTGGGTGGTGTAGCAGATACTGATCTAGCAGCAGAGAGGCTACAATGGGATCTGGATTTAATTAGCGAATGGGCTGATACTTGGCAGATTAAATTTAACATAGATAAGTGTAAGGTAATCCATGCAGGGAGCAGAAATATAAAGTACAGATATTTTATGGGTTCCACTGAAATAAAGGTAGCTGATTAAGAGAAAGAACTCGGTGTGTATGTTGATGCTTCCATGTCCTACTCTTGCCAGTGTGGGGAAGCAATAAAAAAGGCCAATAGAATGTTGGGTTATATCTCTAGGTGTGTGGAGTTTAAGTCAAGGGAGGTGATGTTACATTTATATAATTCCTTGGTAAGACCCCACCTAGAATATTGTGTGCAGGTTTGGTCTTAGAGGAATGTCTTATGAGGAGAGGTTAGCTGAGCTGAATCTGTTTAGCCTTGAGCAAACGAGACTAAGGGGGGACATGATCCAGGTCTATAAGATTCTAACAGGTCTGGATGCTGA